ATTCATATGTAATAGCTGATCATACCGAAAATATGTCATATTGTAATTACTATTATATTACAGTTTAGCTAAATGCTATAACTATTTATAGCTGTACTGTTGTTGGATTACTTCTGTAGTTACCTAGTCGGCACAGAATACGATACTCGTATTTACCGGAACAGGTATATTAATTACTTTCCCCTTTATTTTTATCGTCGATTTAGTTGTATCCGTAAATTTTAAACGTTATAAAATGATGAGTAAGCTTAACTAGTAATCGAAATGTCTGATATTGGAAGATTATAAATATAGTAACGATGTAATCGTAATTAATTTGATAAAAGTTTGGTGTAATTAGAAAACTTTTCTCAGAATTTACTATCGGGGTAAAGTTTTATAGTGCTCAAAGTTAATATCATAGTATTAGAACAGCTGCCAATATAGTCAACGCTTTTATAAAGAAAGATAGAAACATTGTGCACATATAATTTATCATAGTTTCGTTTAATCTAGATACACGGAAAGCGTATAATACGATAAAACTTTTAACTGCGACGGTATATATTATAATCTTCTTATAATCGCATATTTAAGATCCAAGCATAGATTGATTATAATGTATGTACGAGGCAATCACAGAAATTATTAAAGTAAACTAGAACTACGTATCAGATATAGAATAAGGTTTAACGCTTAATACTATTTCAATGAAGATCGATTAATTTCAATCTTATGCTATATGTTATCATCTCTATTTTATAATAAACTGTAGATAAGCAATTTTAATTTTAAAGGTATAAAAGTAAATAGTAAAGGATATATACTGTACACAGTACAATTACTCGAAATTTTAATCGATTTTTCAGAACTCTAATACGACTTCGTTGACATATACAGTGCGTCGATTATTGCACAAGTAAATTTAAAGCATTATATGATATCGAATTTTATTGCTATGATGATTCCGCGTCGATGTAAGTACTACTCTCTGAGAGATTGTAGATTAATAATTTGTCAAATATATAATAGTTCATAGTTATCGTTAGGCTAGGCACGTTGACTTTGGCATACGATCAACTATAAACTCTCTTGGCTAGTCATTTTACGAATAGATTATTACTGTCCTTTATTAAATGCGCTAAGTAAGCTCTAATTAAGAAGCAACAGATAAATAATGCAGCAGTACTACAACGGCAGTACTACAACAAAATGGTACTTGAATGTATCGACATTAGACAAAGAAAAGGATAACGTATCCTTCGTTAGCATGAAAAAATACATTGGATAGTTCTATTTTAATAATACGCGAATAGTGACATCCGTATAGACTGTTCTGTTTCTAAAGTTCAGGTTGGCTACTTCCTTAATTTTATGAAATATATTCTTGCCTACAGTATAGTAATATTACAGACGTTACAGTATAATAGACACATGCATTTAAATACAAATTAGGGTAATATCCCTATTTATTCATACTATCATTTAATTTCTTAGCTACAACAGCCATATTTGTATACTATATTGCATTGTATATTCATAAATTTGTCTCTGAAGGATTTCAAAAGTGTAACTGTTCTGTAGAAATCCATGAAAAAGAATCTTTGCATTGTTTCTGCTATGTAAAAGAATTAACTATCTACAGTAGAATGCTTTATTAAGCTTTAAGATATCGTTTTTCAAAGTTGAAATGTTTGTGAAAAGGGGTTAGGAAAGGCAACTTGCATCGCAGTACAGCGCGATATCTCAGTACTGAAACAACATCAACATATATAGAGAAAAGTATTTATCTGCAGGCTACAGCATAAAATACAATACTATAAACTATACTCGTATATAGCAATATATAAGAGTATAAAAAGTGAATATGAGAAAGAAAACCTGTTAGAGTCTCTGTTACCTCTTAATACAGCGGTATTCTGTAGGTAAAGCAAACTGATGATGTATACGAAGATTGTTATAACGGCAATCTTATTTACTACTGATTACTATTAAACCCTCAAGACCTGTTAACTAGAGCTTCTCTCCTCTTAAAGCCAGATCTATCAGCATGACTAATCTTATTTGCTATCGTAGCTCTGACAGAGATATTGTGTAATAAGTTGAAATAATTAGTGGATGACAAAATATCCTGCAGATAATAAATTAATTACCGTTTAGTAAAGATGATGTATAATATAACTCTGTTTTTACAGTTATTTAATACTTTTACATAAACAAAAATCTATAGAGAAAATCATTATTTATGTAACTAAGGGTATAGCATATTACCGTTTAGCATGTACGATACTGTATTTTGTGCTACGTGTACAGCACATGAACGTTGCTCATGCAGGAAACACTATGTTACAGTAACACATATTACAGGTAATCCCTGTAGAATGTTAGTATTTATTGCGATCTATACAGTATATAAATGAGGAAAGCTAATAAAAGAAGAAGATCACTTAAACTGCGGATAACTACTGGCATTGATAGTCTCGGCAACCGTGCTTTAATTACAGATTAATTAAGCATATATTGTAGTACTCTAGTTACACGTGTAACTTAACTGTAGTATTGGTATTAACATGTTTCTTGATTATGTTATACAAACACT